GAAGCTCAGATTAAGGCAGGTCAAATAATTTTCCCAAAGCCACCTAGAGACTTGTACAGTGGAAGCTTAGAACCAGGGCCGTCTGAACCCAAAGCCTGTGTTCCTAACCTTTAAAGCACATCACTTTCCTCTTGCCTCCACCTAAACCCTATGTACAAGTCATCCCATACTTTTTAAGTGTTTTTTGAGGAAGCCTGGTAAGATTTTGTCTTCCTGGGTTTAATAAAGTTGCTATTCCTGCCCAGAATGTTCACCTCTATACCTCTGTCTTCAGTCTTACTTTTTTTTTTTTTTTCAAACAGAGTCTCACTCTGTCACCCAGGCTGGAGTACAATGGCGTGATCTCAGCTCACTGCAACCTCCTCTTCCTGGGTTCAAGCGATTCTCCTGCCTGAGTCTCCTGAGTAGCTGGGACTACAGAAGCATGCCACCATGCCCGACCAATTTTTTGTATTTTTAGTAGAGACAGGGTTTCACCATGTTAGCCATGGTGGTCTCAAACTCCTGACCTTGTGATCTGCCTTACTCAGCCTCCCAAAGTGCTGGGACCACAGGCATGAGCCACCACATCCAGCCCAGTCCTACTCTTATACTTTCTCTGACACCACCAACTCTAGACAAAATTATTTCTCTTTTCCCCGTGATCCCCTGCTTGATTGTCACAAAAATCCGTCTCTTGCATCAGAGTCTGAATTCTTTCATGATGGAGACAACTCGTCTTTGCTCAGTTCTTCACAGCATTGTAGCCCTGTGGTTTATATTTATCCAAAATAGTCCAAATGTTTTTTGAGAATATACTCTGGGCAAGACAGTGCTAGTTACTATGTGATAAAGACATTAAAGGCCCAGTTGCTATCCCCAAGAGCTATAGTGTGACAGGTAGATACACAAACAAAGGATTTCAAGGAGAGATAAATGTACAGGGTCCAAGGTACTATATAAGCATATCTTTGAGTTAATTTCATGAATGCATTCTGCAGATGTATAACATTGCCCATGCATCGATCCCTCACTGGTGAGCTAAGAGCTTTGCATGCATGTTTTCACAGGCTTTGGGATGTTGCTTCTCCACTCCTGATGATGCTTCTACATGGAAGGAAGCCTATTAGCAAAATGCTTACTTTTTCTCCACGCCCATACCCAGTTCCCCCCAGGGACAAAGTGTGATTTGACATGACTGAAAGGAGAAGTCAGGCATGTTTAGGCTGGCCTCATCCTCACCTCTTGTGAAGGAGTGTGCCTGCAGAGGATGCATGTTCCCTATTGCTCTCAGCTATATCGGGGAGCTCAGCCTCATGTTGCACTGACGATATCACACATCAATTGTGTATCATGATTCTACTCACTCTCTGACTCAGTGCCTTTTGTGATGCCTAGGGGCCTTCTTAGACTGAAAGCAAGGAAGCTCAGAAGCATGGAAAACAACAACAAATCCAAGGTGGGATCCATGGATCAATGTTCCAGCCTCCCCTGCTTCACTGGATAAGCCTAGGGGTGGGGGTATAACAATGTGTCCTTTAGGTTATTTTGCTGAAACATAACAACATACACTTACATTGGCTTTCCCTTTTTTTCTCTTTCTTACTCTCCCTACTTTCTCACTCCTTCTTTCTGGAACACCTCTCAAACAAACTACCTATATCCAAGTTCTTACCTTAGGCTCTGCTTCCAAGAGAACTCAAATTAAGACAGATAACATGAGGACATGATTTATAATTCATCTCTCAGCTCTGTAGTCTCAGTATTGGTTCCATTCCAAGAGGCATTTTCCCAAGGGCACCTGAGAAATGGTATGAGTCACTATGATTGGTCCTTGCCCATGTTAAATTGAATCTTGGGCCTGGGAGTTGGGATGTACCAGTTAGCTGAGCTGAGTTCCATGCTCAGCCCAGAGCTGGACGTTGTGATCAGCCTCACCAGTGTCACATGTGCAAACAGTCAAAGTATGTTTTCATGGAAAATGAGAGTTAAATTACTAAAAGGAGGGAGAATAAATAAAAGGTAAGTCAAACAGCTCATTAAGAAAACCACCAAAGAGTCCCTTCAGCTATAGATAGCACAGGTGACTCTGACAACAGAAATGAGAAAGAAGCATCTTTACCAGGGGAATGATAGCATTGTATTTAGGATTGGAAGTGATCTGGGATACAATTTCACCCAAACTTAAATTATTAGAAAAGTTCAGAGAGAGACTAAGCCCATTAGCTTGAAGTAGTCCAGACAACACTTGGAAGTTCTGGATTAGAAACCCAAGACTCTAACCTTCCAGTGCAGAATCAAGGTCCTTCTATTGTACATTCTTTCCTTCCAGTGGCTGCTTCCTCAGAGAGCCCAGCACATCTCAGAATTGCAAAGACTATAGAATCACGCTTTAAAAACAACATATTATTATAAAAATAATAGGCTTGGCTAGAAGACAGGTCTCTTTCTGAATTTACTAATTCAGACTATTAAGTCTCATCTGTGTCTACAAAGAAAGATGGTGACTCTTGATTTCCTTAGCTTATACGGCTATATTTCTTGCTACACACATAGTCCCTGGGACAGTCCCTGACTCAGCTCTCAGCTGCCCTGCTTCCATGATGATTTAGCAAACAGCAGAGAAAAGAGACTTGAAGGGAAGGAGAAAACGATTTGGCTGGAAGCCTTCCCAGCAGAGGTGGGTTTTTCTTCAGCTTTGAAAGACAGGACAGACATAGGTTGGCTGAGAAGGAGGTGCAATGTGGGGGTGGGAAGACAGAGATAAGAGTGTTTAGGGAAGGAGCATCTTGTTTTGAAGTGGGAACAAAGGAATTGAATTTGAATGAATAAATAAATCACAGATGAGTAGGGTAAAGACTATAATATAAATTTCAACATCCTTGACAGCATAAAGTGTTGCCTACAGAATGAAGCTGTGGAAGTGGAGGGGAGGGGAAATGAAGGAAAGAGAAGCTAAATTTAACAGACACTATCAAACAGTAGAAAAAGAGTTTAAGCTTATTATTAGAGTTACAGAGAGAACCGACAAAACTTAAAGCACAACGATATTACTAGCAAATGCTGGGAAGAGGATGGAATGAGAAGGGAGAAAAACAGTAAATCAAAAAATACGGTTTCAAGTATTTCTTTTTCAGATTTCAGAGCAAAGCATGATTTCAAGAGTCATGGAGGCCAAAAATAGAATAAATAAAGGCAGAAACAGAGTGGAAGAAAGGCTGTTTGTGAGTAGTGGCATTAAGAGTGAGGAGAGGGAAATATTCACTTCCACCGTGAGCTTTACTGTGCTGTTTGAACCATAACCATGTGCATGCTTTGCTCTGAAATCTGAAAAAGAAATTCCACAATTCAGCAGCTGCCCCATTGGCATGAACTGTGTTTCTATTCTGTACCCAGCACTGCACTTGGGCTGGGAATTAGAAGATGAATGAAGGAACAAAGCATTAAGTGTTATAAGGGAAGAACCTTTCTGGTTGGGAGAAGTGTAAGAAGGACATTAGAAAGAATTCCCAAAAAAGTAAAACAGAAGATGGATATTGAAAATGAAGAACAGTCCATCAAATGATTCAGCAAGTGTACTTACTAGAGGCAGATGCCAAAATACCTAAAATCACAGAGGCATGGAATGCAATGAAATCATCTAGCAACTGCAGATTGTACAATTTTGCTTATGCATTTGGTGCTAAATTATAATACCGCAGGGATAAATCAGCCCAAATAAGGAGGGGCTTATGATCACATTAGGAGTTCTGAATTGTCTTCTGCAAACCAAGGATCACAAACTCAAATACATAGCTCACTCAGTCAGATTCTCAAAAATAAGAGAAGAAGAAGGGGAAAGACGATGGTAAATGAAAGAGCGCGTGCCTGAGCTGGGCAGAAGGTGCAGGTGGTACAGCAGATTGTTGCCGAGATTTTCTAGTTTTGAAAATAAAGCTAGGAATCAAGATTTTTATGTGAAAACTGTTGGCAATTTTATTAGTTAGGCTACTTTATGCTGTGTTATGAAAACAACAACAAAAGCTCTAATGCTCAATGGCATACCATTAAAAAGATTTATTTTTCACTCACACAAAGCCCAGATGGGTAGAACAGCTCTCTTCCATGTTGTATCTATGTCAGCAGGGACCAAGGGTCTTCAAGGTCATTGAACCAAAGGTGAAGAAGTACATTGCCTCTTAACAGCATTGACCCAGGCACCTACTAGCTGGAATGAGTTACTTGCCCTCAATCTAAATTTAAGGGAGACTAGGAAATATCATGGCACACATGGGTATTTAATGAGCACTCAATATATCTATCATGCCAACTAATACAATCATTTTATTTTTAAATACCATATGATGCCATTAATAATGGTTGGTTTTGGCAGAAGAGTGGGCAATTTAAGAAGATCTCTGCCATAGTCAAAGATTGGAGATACTTTAGAAATATCACATTTTCATTTCACAAAAAATAATTCCAGAAGCTCTGTGGAAGACTGACCAGAAGGGCAACACTAGAGGCAGGATGGTTATTGAAATTGCCTGGAGACACACTATTGAGGAGCTGAAACAGGAAAGGAATAATCGGAATAGGAAAGAAGAGGTGCTCATACGTGCTATTAACTCTTGGTTTACATCCTTGGTTCATAAGAGGAGGATGTCCACAAAGTTTGTGTGACTTGCCCAAGGTTGCAAAGTTAATAAGCAGCTGTTCAAAACATTAATCCAGCACACATTTTATCCCATTGATAGAATGGTCAAAAAAAAACTAGTGGAAATATAAAATCTTTGACTTTGAGAACTAGGCTTTCGGGAGCTTATCTTATCTAACCCAAACACTCAATGCCATCAGATGTTCTTCATCACTGATTTTAAATGTGAACCTCCTGAAAGATATTACTTTCTTCTTAACTTATAAGACCTGCCAATGGGTAAACATCAAATAGATAATGTATTCATTTTCCAGCCTTGATTTAGACTCTTTTTCTATTCCTTCTGGGAAATCTTTAGCATAAGAAATATTTTTATCTTTCTCACCTCTAAACGTGTCCTAGTGCTGCAACAGTTAGCATTCTAATCAGCGTGGCTCCCAACCATCTGTGATAAGATTTCTTTGGGAGGATTCAACTCAGTCTCTAATACTCAGAAGTAGTTAATCCACTTGAGCTTAAAGCAGAAAGAAAATAGAGAAAGGAAAATTGCTGGGAGGGAGGGTATAGTAGTAAGGAATGTAGGGGAGGATGAATTAAATGAAACAGTGTGAGCTTTTTTATTTTTTTGCCCTAAACCTTTAGAAAATGAGAACATAATGCATCTGTATAAGAGCACATAAAAAGTAATGTGAAGCAAAAATTTTTCATATTAATTACATGGAAGTTTTATAGCAGGCACTGGGATGGTCGTATTACATTATCATTTCAGTTAATCTGTCCTATTTCCCCATGTGATAGTTGATGTTATCCCTATTTTATAAATGAGAAAAGTAAGACTCAAAAACGTACCATATCACAAGCTATCAGAGAATCCTTTTATTTAAACTCAAAGCCTGAGTATTTTGTTTTCAGTACCCTTAGTAACAGTCTTATATTAGAATTCAACAAATTTTTGTCAAGTATTTACCATGAACCCCAAATTATGATGCTGTTAATCTTATTTCATCCTTAAAATAATCCTATGAGATCAGTATTATTATTCCAAATTTTTTTTTTTTTTTTTGGACAGAGTTTCGCTCTTGTTACCCAGGCTGGAGTGCAATGGTGTGATCTCGGCTCACCGCAGCCTCCGCCTCCTGGGTTCAGGCAATTTTCCTGCCTCAGCCTCCTGAGTAGCTGGGATTACAGGCACGTGCCACCATGCCCAGCTGATTTTTTGTATTTTTAGTAGAGACGGGGTTTCACCATGTTGACCAGGATGGTCTCGATCTCTTGACCTCGTGATCCACCCACCTCCGCCTCCCAAAGTGCTGGGATTACAGGTGTGAACCACCGCACCCGGCCTATTATTCCAAATTTTTATCACTAAGGGAATTGGGGTGCAAAATAAAGAGAATTAAGGTCCTGAAGTTTTAGTAAGTGTCAGTAGAAATACAAGACAGGAATTCAAGTTCCTGAAAAACTAGGTCTCTTCAAATTGGCCTTTTTCCTGCTCTCTTTGGAAAAATCCTTCTCATATTGACATCTCTCCCAACTTTTTAGCCTTTTACGATCTTTCTCCCTTTGTCTAGAGGACCTACTGAAAGAAATATTTAGGAAGAAAGTCACTTAATTATTACAACCACTTGGGAACATATATATTATCAGTGTTTATTCTTCCAATAACAATATAGGGCATATGCTAACAGATTAGCCTGTACAATCATATCCTTAAGGGCCACTACTTTGGTGAAAAGGTAAAAAGGCCTGAGTGTGAAGTTGGTATCTGAGGCATCTTTGTTATGAGAGTTTGAGCAAATATCTGAAACTTTATGATTCTCATATAAAAAACGCCATTATTGGAACATCATCCTGGATCACATGTTCAAGATGTCCAGCATACAATTAAAAATATACATTAGAAATCCAAGGAAGAAGAAAAATGTGACCTATATCAAGACATAAAGTTGTCAATAGAAACAGTCACAGAGGTGATTCAGATGATTAAATTGGCAGACAATAACTTTAAAATAGCTATTGAAATTATGTCCAAGAAAAGGATGGACATATGAGAAAATAGATGGAGGATCTCAGCAGAGAAATGAAAACTGTAAAAAAGAACCAAATGGAAGATCTAGAATTGAAAAGTGCATTATCGAAAGTAAAAAATTAACTGGATGATTGTACTGAAGTTTTGTCTATTTATTATACCAAATACTGACAAGAGGGTAATAAAACCTCAATTATAATTATGAATATGTATATTTTAACTTAATATTATTGTATTTTGCTTTATAAAGTTTTAAATTCTGTTATTAGATGCACAACTGTGATGGCTATTTTTATGTGTCCACTAGATTGGTCCATAGGGTGCCCAGATACTTTGTCAGTTTTCTGGCTACATCTGTGAGGGGTGTTTTAGATGAGGGCAACATTTGAATTGCTAGACTGAATACAACTGATTGCCATCTGTCATGTGGGTAGGCCTCATTCAATTAGTTGACAGCCTCAATAGAATAAAGAGTTTGACCCTTCCAAGGGTAGTGGGGAACCCTCCTGCTTTATTGTCTTGAACTGAGACATAAGTTATTTTTTGATCTTCAGACTAGAACTGAAACATCAGCTCTTCCTGTGTCTTCCAGCTCTCAGACTGGAACTGCGTGATTGGCTCTCCTGGGTCTCCAGCTTACCAACTGCAGATTTGGGGACTCCTCAGCTTTCAAAACTACATGAGCTAATTTGCCTTATTGTTTTTTATGGATGCATAGTATTCCACTGTGTATATGCACCACACTTCCCTTATCCAATCTGTGAATGATGGGCATTTAGGCTGATTCCATGTCTTTGCCATTGTGAATAGGGCTGCAATGAGCATATGAGTGCATGTGTCTTTGTGGTAGAATGACTTATATTCCTTTGGGTGTATACCAATTAATGGAATTGGTGGGTTAAATGGTAGTTCTGCTTTTAGCTCTTTCAGGAATCACCACACTGCTTTCCACAATGGTTGAACTAATTTACACTCTCACCAATAGTGTATAAGCATTTCCTTTTCTCCACAATCTTAAAGCATCTGTTATTTTTCTTTTCCTTTTTAGTAATAGCCACTCTGAGTGGTGTGAGATGGTATCTCATTGTGGTTATATTTGCATTTTCTAATAATCAGTGATATTGAGCTTTTTTTCCATATGCCTGTTGGTTGCATGTATGTCTTCTTTTGAAGTGTTCATATCTTTTGCTCATTTCTCAATGGGGTTGTCTTTTTTTTCTTGTAAATTTAAGTTCCTTATAGATGCTGGCTATTAGACCTTTGTCAGATCATAGTTTGCAAATATTTTCTCTCATTCTGTAGGTTGTCTGTTTATTCTGTCGATTTTTTTTTTTTCCTGTATAGAAGCTCTTAAGTTAAGTAGATCCTGTTCGTCAATATTTGCTTTTGTTGCAATTGCTTTTGGCATCCCTGTCATGAAATATTTGCCTGTTCCCACATCCAGAATGGCATTCCCTAGGTTGTCTTCCAGAATTTTTATAATTTTGAGTTTTACATTTAATTATTTAATACATTTTGAGTTGATTTTTGTGTATGGTATAAAAAAGGAGTCCACTTTCAATCTTCTGCATATAAATAGCCAGTTATCACAGCACTATTTATTGAATAGGGAGTCCTTGCCCTTTGCTTGTTTTTGTCAGCTTTGTTGAAGATCAGATGTTTGTAGGTGTTACCTTATTTCTGGGCTCTCTCTTAGTTCCATTAGTCTATGTGTCTGTTACTGTGCTAGTACCATGCTGTTTTGGTTACCATAATCCTGTATATAGTTTGAGGCCAGGTGATGCCTCCAGCTTTGTTCTTTTTGCTTAGGATTACCTCAGCTATTCAGACTTTCTGGTTCCATATGAATTTTTTAAAAGTTGTTTCTAGTTCTTGCAGCTGATAGCTTGCAGTAAATGCCAAGAATGAGTACTCAGACAATTCCAGCTGAGCAGGGCGGGGAGCAACTCTTCTGAGAGAGTGCTGCTCCAAGACCCCTCCGCCAAGTATTTATTGAAAGAGCTTGTTAAACGACAAACATCCACTAGATTGCTTTTTGAAGCCAGGTCCTGAGACACATATGACATCGTAAAAGCAATCAAACCACATTCTCAGCAGGCGGTTTTCAGTGTTCCTTATCACACACCCCACTCCTTGTCCTGTTTTCAGGGTCAAGGAGTTACAGTCTCATGCACAAACAACACACACAGAGTGCCTCAGTATTTTTCCATGCCCTGACCTCAGATGCCTTGGACATAAGCTTGAATATGTTGTTCTGTGCTGAATGACATTGGTAGTTTGATTGGAATATTACTGGATCTGTAAATTGCTTTGGGCAGTATCGCCATTTTAATAATGCTCATTTTTTCTATCAGTGAGCATGAAATGTTTTACCATCTGTTTGGGTCATCTCTGACTTCTTCGAGCAGTGTTTTGTAATCCTCATTGTAGAGATCTTTCACCTTTCTGATTAGCTATATTCCTAGGTATTTTATTATTTTGTTGCAACTATGAATGAAATTGCTTTACTGATTTGGCTCTCAGCTTGGCTGTTGTTGGGTATAGAAATGTTAGTGATTTGTGTACATTGATTCTGTATCCTAAAACTTGCTGAAATTGTTTATTAGCTGAAGGAGATTTTGTGTAAAAACTATGGGGTTTTCTAGATATATAATCATACTGTCATAGAATCTCTTACAAATAGGAAGAGAGCAAATCAAACTATCCCTGTTTGACTTTCTATTTCTATGCTTTTTATTTTTTTCTTTTGACTAATCGGTCAAGAGACTATGTTGAATAGAATGGTGAGAGAGGCCATCTTTGTCTTATGCTGGTTTTCAAGGTGAATGCTTTGAGCTTTTCCTCATTCAGTATGATGTTGGTTGTTGGTTTGTCATAGATGGTTCTCATTATTTTAAGTGTGTTCCTTCAATACCTAGTTTATTAAGAGTTTTTAACATGAAAACATGTTGATTTTTTTCAAAATACTCTTCTGCATCTGTATAAATAATCATGTGATTTTCAACATTATTCTGTTTATGTGATGAATCTCATTTATTGATTTGCAGATGTCAAACCGATCTTGCATCCAAGGATGAAGACTACATGATCATGGTAGATTAGCTTTTTGACGTCCTGATGAATTCTGTTTGCCAATATTTTGTTGCGGGTTTTTACATCAATGTTTATCAAGAATATTGGCCTGAAGTTTTACATTTTATTGCTCGTGTGCCTCATCCAGGTTTTAGTATCTGTATGATGCTAGCCTCATAGAACAAGATGGAGAGGAGTTCCTCATCTGAACTTTTTTAGAATAGTTTTAATAGGAATGATACCAGATCTTCTTTGCATATCTAGTGGAACTTGGCTGTGAATTCATCTGGTCCTGGACTTTTTCTTGGTTGGCAGGTTTAATTTTAAGAGCTAATTATTAGTCTTTTCAGGGAGTCAGTTTCTTCCTGGTTTAGTCTTGGGAGGGTATAGGTGTCTAGGAATATATCCATCTC